CCTGTCTCCCCTAGCTCCCGCCTTCCCCAAACTGTCGCCGAGTCCAGTCAAGCTCGAGGAGATCTCCCTCCAGACCCTGCGCCAGAGCCAGAGCCTGAGGAGGGTGCAGGTGAAGAAGGAGTCTCGGAGTCCGAGTCTGAGGATTCTGTTGGGTCCGCCTCGCCGACAGCGCTCGCCCCCGCGTCAGCAGTCCCTGACGTACGTGACACCACCGCCGAACTTCCTTCGGCGCCTTCACCGCCAACTCCGCCGAGAGGCCGCTCGAGCACTCGCTCCTCTCGAAGTTCGACCAGCGGAAGGCCACCACAGCCGCCTCCGCCCCCGCAGCGTCCTCCGTCCCCCCCGACGCCGATAATGTCCTCCCCTGCAGCTGCCCCCAACAAGGAGACCCTGAAGCTCCTCCTCCCCCTCCGCTATGACGGCAAAACCGTCATCGAATGCGACAGGTTCTTGTCGCAACTTTGTATCTACTGGTTGATCAACACGTCGTTGACGACCATTGAGCTTAAGGTACAAGTTGCGCTAAGCCTGCTCGATGGCGACGCCCGTGCCTGGGTCACGCCTTACTTCGCCCAACTCGCGTCGGTACAGATGGGTGTATAAGGGGTCACAACCCCCTTCAGGAACGAAGCGGCCTTCACCGCTGCCTTTAAGGCTCGCTTCGGAAATCTCGACGACGCGGCAGCAGCACAAGTGGAGCTGGCGAAGCTCTGCGCGGACAAGTCGGTCCGCGAGAAACGCACCGCTGCGGAGTTCTCTGCGCTGTTCAAGGGTCCGGCGGACCGCTCTGGGTATGGGGACCTGGAGCTACGCGACAAGTACCTGAGCGGCATCCCCTCCCGCGTCTATCGAAAGATCGAGCTCGAGACCTTCACTACGTGGCGAGCCGCTGAAAAGCGAGCCACTGAGGTCGAGCAGATCCTCGACATCAGCCAGGCCCAGCGGCCCAAATTGAACAACTTCTTCTCGGCCCGAGGACAAGGTCGCGGTGGGGCACGTGGTGGTGCACCTTCGTCGCACGCAGCTTAGGCCAGCATCAATGCGGCCGTCGGAAAAGGAGACTTCCCCGGCACATGCTTTGGCTGCGGGAAGCAAGGGTACCGACGTTTCGAGTGCCCTAACTGTAAGGATAAACCTTACACAAAACGCGCTGACGCGCCGGCTACGGTTGCCTCGGGTTCCACCCAGGCGGCGACAAGCGCCCCTGTCGCTTCATCCTCGGCGAGTACAAGCACCACTTCAGTGAAATCGGAAAGTTCCGAGCTGGCGGACTTAATAGCACAGATGAAGTCGATGCGCGAGGAGCTCGAGCACTATCGGGCAATGAAGGAGGAGTCTTTTTGATCCGGTCCGCGCTTCGTGCCGCACGCGTCGGACTGCGTAATAATAACATGTACAATGTATTGGCGACCGCAAATGTGTACGAGTTGGACCATGGGTCCCAGCATTTCCACATCCCGGTGCGCCTCAAAGGAGAAAGACGGCACAAGGACATAGTTGCAATGGTGGACAGCGGAGTCACCACGAAGTTCATCAACAAGCGTTTCATCAAGGAGAATCGAGTACGAATGCGGAAATTGAAAGAGCCAATTCCGCTTTACAATATCGATGGAACGCTCAATAAAGACGGAAGCATCTCGGAGGTAGCCGTGCTACAGATGCAGATAGGAGAACACGTCGAAAAGATGGTGTTCACGGTCACGGACATAGGTCCAGAGGATGTGATCGTCGGGTTGGATTGGCTGCGAGAGCACAACCCCAAAATCGATTGGGAATCGGGCTCCCTGAAATTATCATGATGCCCTGAAACGTGCAGTACCAGGAAGACTGGCCAGATGGAGCAAGCAGCAACTGCGCGTGATACGGGGGTCAGGCCCACGGCGCGCAGACGCTCGCAGAAGTCCAGACAGTCGGTCGTAGGTGCTTGCCGGAGTAAGGTACTCCCGGACTTCGAACCCGAAGATGATCCGGTGGAGGTAGAGTGGGACGAAGCTGACTTAATCGAGGCCTGGGAGCAGGGTATCACGCTTCCCGGCGCCCCTCAGCTGTTCGTCGCAGCGGGACACACGTATTCCCAGCTGTTCGCTGAGGAAGAAATCAAGAAGAAGGTTGTCAAGACCGCCGAGGAGTCAGTGCCTAAACAGTACCATGAGTTCCTGAAAGTCTTCTCCAAGGAAGCATCAGAACGGCTACCCGAAAGGAAGCCTTACGATCACGCGATCGAACTTGTACCCGGCTACTCGACGTTCCACTCGAAGGTGTATCCCCTGTCAAACAACGAACAAAAGGAACTGGACAAGTTCCTAAAGGAGCAACTAGCGAAGGGCTACATACGGGAGTCGAAATCGCCCATTTCGTTCCCCTTCTTCTTCATCAAAAAGAAGGAAGGGACGCTTTGACCCATGCAGGACTACCGCCGCTTGAATGCGATCACGGTCAAAAACCGCTACCCTTTGCCGCTGATCGCCGAGATGGTAGATAAGCTCCGCGGTGCCACGCTCTTCACAAAGTTCGATGTTCGATGGGGATACAACAATGTCCGGATCAAAGCCGGTGACGAATGGAAGGCGGCCTTTGTGACTAACCGAGGATTGTACGAGCCCTTGGTGATGTTCTTCGGCCTCACTAATTCCCCTGCGACCTTCCAGGCAATGATGAACGAGATCTTCCACGATCTCATCGTCGGTGGCAAGATCCTCGTGTACTTGGATGACATACTCATCTTCTCCACCAACAAGGAGGAGCATGAAAAGGTCACATGCGAGGTTCTACGCCGCCTTCAGAATAACGATCTATTCCTGAAGCCTGAAAAGTGCGAATGGGACGTTCCCAAGGTCGACTACGTCGGCTATGTGTTCGGTGGCGATGAGGTAGCGATGGATCCCGCGAAGCTAAAAGGAATTAATGAGTGGCCGGTACCCCGGAACAAGAAAGATGTTCAGAAGTTCCGGGGGTTCTCCAACTTTTACCGCCGCTTCATTAAAGACTTCGCTAAGATCTCGTGACCACTCGACCGGCTCACAGGGAATGACCCATGGCATTGGGGCGAAGAGGAGCAGCACGCCTTCGACGAGCTCAAGCGGCTCTTCGTGACGACTCCAGTCCTAGCACTATATGATCCTAATCGGGAGACGCGCATCGAGGTTGACGCCTCGGGCTACGCCACCGGCGGCGTGTTAATGCAGAAGCAGGACGACGGCAAATGGCATCCCATCGCCTTCAGATCCCATGCAATGGATCCGGCCCAGCGGAACTACGAGATCTACGACAAGGAGATGCTTGCCATCATTGAGGTGCTAGACGATTGGCGCCACTACCTTGAAGGGTTGCCCAATCAGTTCGAGATCGTTACCGATCACAAGAACCTCGAGTACTGGCGTACATCTCAGCATCTCACGCGTCGTCAAGCGCGATGGTCGCTCTTCCTGGCTCGCTTTGACTTCCGCATCACGCACAAGGCCGGAACGTCGAATGGAAAGGCTGATGCCCTGTCGCGACGATCGGACCATCAGATTGGCGATGAGGACGATAACACCGATCAGGTAGTTCTCAAGCCGGAGCGCTTCCGCATCGCCTCCGCCAGACGCGGCCATGCCTCGGTGACGGCCGATCAGTCGCTTCTGAAGCGCATTCGGGAGTGTTCGGAGAAGGATCGGGAGGTGGCCGAGGCACTTGAAAAGGTGCAGGACCTTGGGCCGCCACAGCTGCAAAGGGGTTTTGAGGAGTGGAATGCCGAACAGGGGCTTCTGCTGTTCCGCGGGTGCGTGTACGTCCCAAAGAACGCGGAGCTCCGGCGGGATATAGTCAAGATCCACCACGACTCGCCGATCGCCGGTCACGGCGGTCGTGCCAAAACCCTGGAGCTCGTGTCGCGGAACTACTGGTGGCCTGGAATGTCCAAGTTTGTCAATGAGTACGTAAGCACCTGCGACGTGTGCAACTGTACCAAGACATTCCCAGCCAAGCCCCAGGGTCCGCTGAAGCCAAACGAGATCCCCGAGCGCCCGTGGCAGATCATCACGACCGATATGATCGTCGGCTTGCCAAAGTCTGATGGGTTCGACTCGATACTGGTTACCGCCGACCGCTTTACCAAGCAGGTCCACTTCTCGGCCTGTCATGAGACCCTGACGGCAGAAGGCGCGGCAGACCTGTACATCCGCGATGTGTTCAAGCATCATGGGGCCCCGGCCAAGGTCATATCAGACCGAGGTCCCCAGTTCGCTTCAAAGTATCTCCATGCGGTGTACAAGGGACTGGGAATCGAGCCAGCGCTGTCCACAGCATTCCACCCTCAGACGGACGGCCAAACCGAACACTGGAATCAGGAGATCGAGCAGTACCTGCGTGCTTTCACAAGCCACAGGCAGGATGATTGGGCAAAGCAGTTGCCACTCGCGGAATTCGCACTGAACAACCGAGTTCACTCCGCGACCGGGCACTCCCCATTCTTCTTGCATCAAGGGTACAATCCTGAGATCCAAGTGCGGATCAATCCGATGTCTGCGATGCCTGCGGCCGCTGATCGGCTCAAGATTCTGAAGGAGATTCGCGATGACACGCGCTCTGCGCTCGAGCTGTCGGCCGAGCGTATGAAAGTGTACTATGATAAGCACGTGCAAGAGGCACCGGTCTTTGCGCCGGGGGACAAGGTCTGGCTTGACGCTCGGAACCTTAAGCTGAAACAGCCGAGCAAGAAGCTCAGTCCCAAGCGCCTTGGACCATATGCCGTGCGGCGAAAGCTCGGAGACCTGGATTATGAATTAGTCCTGCCAAAATCGGTGCCGGTGCATCCGGTGTTCCATGTCTCCTTGCTGAGCAAGTACACGCAGAGCGATATCCCGGGCCGGGAGCCGGAAGAGCCGCCTGCGATCGAGGTTGAGGGCGACGAGGAGTACGAGGTTGAGCGGATCAAAGATTCAAGGATCTTCTGGCGTCAGCTGCAGTACCTCGTCAAGTGGAAGGGTTATGATGATTCGCATACGTCATGGGAACCGGCGCGCAACATTGCCAATGCGCCGGCCCTCATAGCCGACTTCCACCGGAAGAATCCAAACACCCCTCGTCGACTCAATGCTGCTACCTTTGGTGGTCTCAACTTTCAGCCAATGCCTTCGCCGCTGACTGAAGCACGATGCCGCTCCAGATGGGAGATGGGCAAGGGCGCCTCGCATGAGGTCATGCGCCGTTGAGGGGGGGGGTAATGTCACAAGTCGGTACGGCGCCTAGCCGTTTTTTATTTTTTTCCTTTTCGCGGACTCGAACCCGCGACCTCTGTACTACCTGCCTGATATGGACACGTCGTTATCTACTGTACGATTAGATTAGATGGGCGGCAGCGCACGGCACAGCTCGGGCTCCGCTGACACAGCCGCTCTGACTCACTGGCCCCCGGGGCCGCGTCGGCATGCTGTGCACAGACCAGCTGTGCACGGACCAGCTGCGCACGGACCAGCGTGCACAGCCTGCCCTTATCTTCCCCTGTATATAAACCGGCCTCTGCTGCCCTAGGGACCTCAGTTTCGACCTCTTGTCCCTAGGTCAGTAAGCTCCCACTTGTATCCCTTACTTACCTTTGCTAACTAATATACTTACTTGTCCCTAGCCTTAGGTTTGAGCATAGCTCACCATCACTTCGGTGAGACTTAGTCGGACGTCCCCAGCATTTAGGTTTTCCTCAGTCGCTTAACCTCAAGTCGCGACAGGGACGTCCAATGGAAAGGCTGATGCCCTATCCCGCCGATCAGACCATCAGATCGGCGATGAGGACAATAACACCGATCAGGTGGTTCTCAAGCCAGAGCGCTTCTGCATCGCCTCCGCCAGACGCGGTCATGCCTCGGTGACGGCCGATCAGTCGCTTCTGAAGCACATCAGGGAATGTTCGGAGAAGGATCAGGAGGTGGCCGAGGTACTCGAAAAGGTGCAGGACCTTGGGCCGCCCCGGCTGCAAAGGGGTTTTGAGGAGTGGAATGCCGAACAAGGGCTTCTGCTATTCCGTGGGTGCATGTACGTCCCAAAGAACGCAGAGCTCCGGCGGGATATAGTCAAGATCCACCACGTATCACAAAACCTATAAACCCACCTTATAGCTTGATGGTAAGGGGGGGAGATAAAGCACTTAAGTGTGGGGGAGGTAATGCTGTTAAGCGCAACAACGAAGTGAATAGAACTGGGGGACAGGGTGCCCCAGGATGCTGCCTTATATACATGAGGGAAAACCCCCCAGGGACCGGTAATGGACCCCTGGTACCTAGCTGGGTAAGGATTACTAAGTATCATGTGCTCTATGATGTCATATATGATGTCATAGTCTGGCCCTGCCCTGCCCTGGGCCTAGGATC